TCTCTGTCTCTGTCTCTCTAACTCTGCCTTTCAAATAAATAAAATAAATCTCTAAAAAAATTATTTGAAAACAGTTTAGAAGGAGCAAATAATAACTAGTACTTATTATGGATTAATACTCCTAAAGGATTAATACTCTTAAAGAAGTTACTTCGATGAAGTGAAGTGCTCTAGTTACCTAAATTAAATTAAGGAACTATATTTTTTGTGATGAATTTCACAGAAACGTAAACCAGGTAACCATTTCAGTTATTTCTCATTTTTTCTTTAGCAGATAGTCAGATCGTTGGAACTGAAATGGGGGCCAGTCTTCCAGTGCTTAACCTGGTTAGTGACATGGTTGTCACTAACGACCTTCGCTGGTTCGTCCCCCTGGAGAGCTGTCTGTTCATGGTTTGTCCACCCAGCCAACACTATGGAATTCCTACCATTGTCAGACTTGCAGTGACAGCTCCTGGAGATGTAGCAATGAGTGAGAGAGACCAAGCCTCTGTTCTCATGACACTTATCATTTAGGGGAAGGGACTCCCATGAATGACTTTCAATACAACTGTGACACACGTAGCCAAGTGCCAGCACAGGGTGTCCTGAGATCATAAAGCAAGTCCTGACTTTGTGGTGGAGGTTGGATAACAAAGGTTATGCTGCAGCACTTGGGGTGAAACCTGTGGCGTGTACAAGACTTAGACAGGGATGAGGATGCAGTGTGCAGAGTCTTCTAGGTGAGGGGAATCCCATATTTTTTATTTTTGTATAAAAAGAAGCCTTGCCATTAGATTGTTTGTAAACATTTTATTTGGTGGCAATGCAAATATAAATTAATGGCATATCTCCTCTGTCTAGAAAACTCTGCATATTGCATCCTCATCTCTGCCATGCCTTGAGACAGGAACAAGCTTCATGTATAGGGCTCAACTTCAAGCTTCTAACTTTCTTATTCTGCTCTGAGAGCAGTCAGCTGACTTGAATAAGGCCGACAGCTCTAGAACTGGCTGTTCAGCAGCGACTATTTGTCTCTACTGTAGACATCATTTAATTTGTAGGGAAAGAAAAACACTAAAATCAAGCATATTTTAGAAGTAATAGCAATGTATAAAAAATGTACTCTCTGGGCCGGCACCGTGGCTCAATAGGCTAATCCTCCGCCTTGTGGCGCCGGCACACCGGGTTCTAGTCCCGGTCGGGGCGCCGGATTCTGTCCCGGTTGCTCCTCTTCCAGGTCAGCTCTCTGCTGTGGCCAGGGAGTGCAGTAGAGGATGGCCCAAGTGCTTGGGCCCTGCACCCCATGGGAGACCAGGAGAAGCACCTGGCTCCTGCCTTCGGATAGGCGCGGTGCGTCAGCCGCAGTGCGCCAGCCGCGGCAGCCATTGGAGGGTGAACCAACGGCAAAGGAAGACCTTTCTCTCTGTCTCTCTCTCACTGTCCACTCTGCCTGTCAAAAAAAAAAAAAAAAGACTCTCTGATTTATACAAATGGCTTTTTAAAATTACTTACAAAGTAAACTGCTCCAAAACTTCCATGTCCAATTTCATGCAAACCAATAAAGAGCTCTTCAGGATCATCTTTGTAGAACAGATCTGCAATCTCCGGATCCTTGGGGGCCCCTTTACGCATGGTGACCAGCACTGCAAGCACCCTGCTTTTGGATACCTTTACCTCTCATTGACAAACTCTTCTGCAGACCTCAGTACCTGCAGAAAAGTAAAGTTTTTCCATTGAATTATTTCTAACACATTTTGTCTGTTGGCAACACAAATGAAAGTGGAATTTAAAAGTCTATTGATCTTATAACCTCATCATAAAAACCTAAATAAATCAAATGAAAACTGAGCAAAGGATTGGAATAGTCATTTCTCAAAAAAAAAACATATATAGACAAATGATCATTAATCCATGAAGAAATGATCAACACGATCAGTTACTAGAGAAACAAAAATTAAAACCATAGTGAGATAACATCTCATACTCACTAGGAAGGCTAGAATCGAAAAGACAGGTAAGTTTGGGTGGGGATGCTGGGAATCCAGAACTCTCCAATACAGCTGAAAGGAATGTAAAATGACACAGTGATTTTGGAAGACAGCTTGGCAAGGGCAGGCGTTAGTCTAGCAGTTAAGGTGCTGTAAAAAGTTATAAAAAGGAATGAAGTACTAGTACATGCTATGTCAATGAACCTTGTAAACATGTTAAGTGAAAAAAGTCAGTTTAAAAAGACCACATATTGAATGATGTTACTTATCTAAAATTTCCAGAAAAGGTAAATCTAAAGAGAGAGAATGTAGATTATTGGTTACCCAGGGCTGGAGGGTTTGGGGGAATGATAACTAGTGGACTCAGGCTTTCTTTTCAGGGTGATGAAAATGTCCTAAAACCAACTGTGGTGATCATTACATAACTCTGAAAACCACCCACTACACACTTTAAATGGGTGGAAGGTATCATATGTAAATTATATCTTAACAAAACTGTTACTATAAGAAGCATTTGGGCATAATCAATAATGAAATAATTACAGGTGACATTCACTAAACACTATTATGTATGTAGGCAATACCAAAAACCTTACTTTTTAAAAAAAAAATCTGTTCAACAGCTTCATACTATAATGGATTTATTTATTATCTTAATTTTGTAGAACAAACTAAGACTGAGAGGCAAAACTACTTCCTCTGGTTGGGAAGCCAGTGTTTGTCAGAAGTGTGATTCAGGGGCCAGTGCTGTGGTGTAGCGGGTTAAGCCGCCACCTGCAGTGTCCACATCCCATATGGGCACCAGTTTGAGTCTCGGCTGCTCCACTTCTGCTTCAGCTCCCTGCTGTGGCCTGGGAAAGAAGGAGAAGATGGCCCAAGTGCTTGGCTCCTGCACCCACGTGGGAGTCCTGGAAGAAGCTCCTGGCTCCTGGCTTTAGATCAGCACAGCTCCATTCATTGCAGCCATCTGGGGAATGAACCAGCAGATGGAAGACCTCTCTCTCCCTCTGCCTCTGCCTCCCTGTAACTCTGCCTTTCAAATAAATAAATAAATCTTACAAAAAAAAAGAAAAGAAAAAGAAGTGTGATTCGAAGCAGGCCTAATAGCAAACCCCATGCTCTTGATTGACATACGATATATTTATATAGTAGACTAGGTAATTAACCTATATTAATCCCCAGAACAAAGTGCTACAATTTGGAGATTATGCTAAATGTCCACTTGAAAAGGCAAGCCATTCCACTGGTTTATAAAATACTCTGAGTTCAAAGTTTCTATTGATAAAAGACATCATTATGACACATTTATATGTTGATCTGGCAAGAGCTACACATATTTATTTAGTGTAGACTCTTTTTTATTTCTTCCTCTTTAAAAAGTATTGAAATGCTTGGGGCTGGCACTGCGGTACAGTGTGTTAAGCTGCTGCCCGCACACCACATCCCATATGGGCACCTGTTTGAGTCCCAGCTGCTTTACTTCCAATTCAGGTCCATGCTAATGTGCCTGGGAAAGAAGTGGAAGATGGCCCAAGTCCCTGGGTCCCTGCATGAAGAGTTACAGGAATTATAGATAGAGTTAGAGAGGGAGAGAGGGAGAGAGAGAGAGAGAGAGAGAGATGAGAAGAGAGAGGTCTTTTATCCACTGGTCCACTCCCCAAATGGCTGCAAAGGCAGGAGCTGGGCTAGTCTGAAGCCAAGAGCCTAGAGCTGCTTCCAGGTCTCCAACATGGGTGCAGGGGCCCAAAGACTTGGGCTTTCTTCTACTGTTTTACCAGGCCACAAAAGAGAGCTGGATCAGAAGTGGAGCAGCTGGGACTTCAAGTGGTGCCCCTATAGAATGCCAGAACCGCAGCCGGCTGCTTTACCAGCTAGGCCATAGTGCTGGCCCCAGTGTATCAATTCTTAACAACTGGTTTGACAAAGATATAAAACAAAGCTGGACAAAACTATATTTGCAGCAATACTGATACACACAGGCATTTCTTTTCTTTTTTGTTTTAGATTTTTTTTCAGAATCTAACGTATTAACAAATTCCTTTAAAGAATAAAAAACTGTAATGACACAAATAGAAAAATGTTTATAATGAGTGTTATAAGGAAAGCAAGTATTTTTTTAATATGAGGCTATAACAAGGTAGTCCAGCTTATTTTTTACCTGGAAGTGAAGACGTATGCCTTCCTAGAGAAAATAAATGTAATATGTTCACTGTCGCTGCATGGGACAGCTGAAGGGAGCAAACATGAAGCTGGCATCGAGCCAAGGAAAACCACACAAGGTCTTTTAAACCATATTAAGAAATTTGGACTTTATCCTGAGGCTAACAGGGTGCCTTTGAAGGCTTTAAACAGGAAAAAGGATGCCTCTGCCAGCTCTGGGGCTGGAATCTTGGGCAGTCGCCCTGCCAACCCCGAGTGCCACAATCAACCATGAGGCTGCTGTCACTGATGCTAGCTGTCAGGGAGGTGACTGGACGTATGGAATAAAAGCTCAACAAGTGCTTTGCCTTCGTTCCTTAGGTCTGGGAATGGAAAAGACAAGCAATGCAGCAAAGTGAAGCCATGACTTTTTGGAGACTATGCATAAAAGACAAATTGTGAGACTGCTATTAAGAAAAATAAAAAGATCTGTGGAGTAAATTTATGAGAACCAAAATCTTTTCAATCATCAGAATGCATTTTAAGCTTTTGAATATTTTGGCTTCAAAGTGACTACAGCTAAGTACTATGGATAACTATTTGGGGGGAAACACAGATTACTATGTCATATCATAGACTACAATGATTTTACAAAGAAATAAGCATCTAAATATAAAAGACCATAAAATTATAGAATGAATTACAAAAGAATATTTAATTACCAAGCAATATATTAGAGGCAAAAGACAAAATCTATAAGCTTGAATATATATATGTATGTATGTGTGTGTGTATATATATATATATATATATATATATAATCGGTCATTTCTTTAGCTTAAAAAATACAGTGAAGGGACTTCTACTTCTAGCCAAGATGGAGTAACTGATAGTAGATTATTGTCTGCCACTGGAAACAACTAAAACACCAAATAAAAATTATGGATGACGGCATTTCAAGACAATGGCTATTAGGTAATGAAAGACAGTGGTCTCTGATAGAAGAGACGCAATGAACTGTCCTGGCTTAATGCCTTAATTGTCCCAGCTTAATGCACTGGAGGAGTTTTCCAGGCGACTGTACAGAAAGGGGGAATCTGATAGGAGCCCGGGGCATGATTAGAGTTGGAGACAAAGATGAGAGTGCGGGGCGACCAGGGTGACTGGAGTTTGCGGGGTGGAAGACCAAGTAGAATAGAGCGGCACAGAGAGAGGCTAAGGGGATCTGCAGAGGGCTCAAGCCTTCAGCTGAGTACTGACTCATGCACGCATGTGAGAACACTATCCCAGGTTGGGGAACAAGCAATCTGAACAGAATAAAGAAAACAGAATCCACAGTTCACCAAAGGCTGTAAACAGCACTTGCTCCTAGCAGGCAGAATAGGAAATCTCATCATTCACAGGACATTGCTTAGATTATTCCGGTCTCAACCTCAAGAGCAGGAAATAATCCCGTCTAGACTAAATGCTGACCTGTGATATGTAACATTTTATTTTATTTTTTTAAAAAGATTAATTAGGGCCGGCGCCGCGGCTCACTAGGCTAATCCTCCGCCTAGCAGCGCCGGCACACCGGGTTCTAGTCCCGGTCGGGGCGCCGGATTCTGTCCCGGTTGCCCCTCTTCCAGGCCAGCCCTCTGCTGTGGCCAGGGAGTGCAGTGGAGGATGGCCCAGGTGCTTGGGCCCTGCACCCCATGGGAGACCAGGAAAAGCACCTGGCTCCTGGCTCCTGCCATCGGATCAGCGCGGTGCGCCGGCCACAGTGCGCCGGCCGCGGCGGCCATTGGAGGGTGAGCCAACGGCAAAGGAAGACCTTTCTCTCTGTCTCTCTCTCTCTCACTGTCCACTTTGCCTGTCAAAAAAAAAAAAAAAAAAAAAGATTAATTAATTTATTTGAAAGGCAGCGTGACAGTGTGTGTGTGTGAGAGAGAGAGAATCTTCCATCTACTGTTTCTTTCTGAAAATGCCTGCAACATCTACGGCTGGGTCAGGCTGAATCCAACAGCCAGTAACTCCATCTGTCTTCCATGTGGGTGGCAGGGACCAAGCACTGGGGCCACCATTTGCTGCCCACCACGTACATTAGCAGGAAGCTGTACCTGAAGCACAGAACAGGGGAACTTGAACCAGGCACAACAATATAGGATGTGGGTGTCCTAAGCTATCTGTGGCACTACCCATGATCCACTCCTCTAACAAATTTTAAAAGCAATACTAGGGGATGGTGCTGTGGTACAGGTTAATCTTTTGCCTGCGGTGCCAGCATCCAATATGGGCGCTGGGTCTAGTCCCAGCTGCTCCTCTTCCAATCCAGCTCTCTGCTGTGGCCTGGGAAAGCAGTAGAAAATGACCCAAGTGCTTGGGCCCCTGCACCTGCATGGGAGACCTGGAAAAAGCTCCTGGCTCCTGGCTTCGGATTGGCTCAGCTCTGGCCGTAGCGGCCATTTGGGAGTGAACCAGCGGATGGAAGACCTTTCTCTCTGTCTCTCCCTCTCACTGTCTGTAACTCTACTTCTCAAATAAATAAAATCTTTAAAAAAAATAGCTGAAGAAATAACAGTGGGAAAAAAATCTACAAATAT